AGCTCTTTCCTCTATTTCCCTTGACTTCCCTCCTGTCCTACTATCATGCTTAGTCCCCACCAGGGTTTCAGCAATTCCTCTTTGTTACATTACCCTTGATCATGCCCTACCAGGCTTCCCACACCCACCTCACCACCAATTTGGATCACTTGTTGTTCCTTTGTCCCTGGGTTCTTTACAGTTTACTTCCATGATGCCCTAATGCCGCAGATGAATTATAGTGTCAATTTCAAACTTATAATTTCCATCAGCTGTTGGCACTCAGCAAAATATGACTGGGTTCTAGACATCCTCCATTGCTTCCTGGAACAATGTTCCTGGCTGGGTAGTCCTAGGACCCTGTCCTATCCAGTGGTGAAGCCACATTCCAAATGAATTCCACATTTCAATAAGGACACCTTATTTTAGGTCCATCCCATCCTGTCAACATGTGGCTGTCACATGCTTGTCTCCCCAGCCCCTCCCTAGTCGAAGGGGCCAGAGGCATATGAGAAATACAGAGCTCTGAAGGCCAAGCCCTAGACTAAATGTTTCCATGTGAGAAATTTGCATGTGGTACAATGATCTAAAGCTATTTCCTGCTTTCTAGCTGCCTGTTCATTCCAACCCTGTCTATGATTATGGGGACCAGCACTGGGTATTCAGTCTCCGGAGGGATTGGCACAGGTAGGTGTTTTCATGTGCCGTCTCTTCCTGAGCCCTTCCCAACTCACCAAATTATAAGTCAATGAGTAAGTTTGAGTTCAGATTTTTCCTTTACATCTCAAGAAAGCACGAGCCTTCTCTCTATTCCTCAGTATCCACAGATGAATTATTGCTGTGTATGATAGGTTTATCGTGCTCTTTTTACTGCAAGGGCAGCCTGTCTATGTGTGAATCATGTTTCAGCATAATGATTACAAACTGCATATGTGATTTTATTGATAATCCTAGACTGCCTCTTGGTGGTTGACATGGGTTGAAATAGGTGTATTTACCCTGCTTTCCTGCATCTACATCAAGAGTAATATGAATTATGTATCGCTTGATACCAGGAACAGGCATGACCTTGGCAAGTAGCTCATATGGGACTGCTTGAGGTTATGGCATGCTTTTTACAGTGCTGTGCTCAGCTTAAAACTCATTGGCTGAGAACAATAGGAATTCTCAGGGCTGCCTGAGCCAAGCACCCTACTGCTATGAGGGCAGGGAGGATCATGCTGAGAAATGATTGCCTTTGTTGTCCAATAGCGCATAAGCATAGTTCCAAATTTTCAGACCAAGCCACTGGCTCTACTAATCCACCAGGACAACAAACCCCATTAGCATTGTCAACCCTGTTAGCAGGCAGCTGAGCTAGGTCAGTGTACTCTGCTCTCATGCTGCATACAGCCCAGCATTATGGATCAGCTGGCCATGGGGTCCAACAGTTCATGGAACCCAGTGGTTGTAACACTCTCTGCTCCCGTATCATTTTGAGGTAATCAGATACATTTGGAGTCAGATATTGAGGGTGCAGGGCCAAGTTCAGGAAAAACCACTGTTTGTTTTCTGTGACCCATCCCCAAACCCCCCCCCCCAGCCTTGCTAAAAAGATGATCAAAGTTGTCACATTTTTTCATGTAACATATTGCTTAAGTTCGGGGAGGTAGATATTTAGTAGATTCATGCTGTGAACTGAATCAGAGCTTCAGTAAGGGTGAACCTGCTTCTGTGTGGACAGAGCCTAAGGGTGTGCTTGTGTTCTGACCTCAGGTGTTGCCAGACCCTTCCCTCCTGCCAGGGGCTTGACCTTCTCTTGCTGGTTCCTGATCAGCCGTCCTGGTACTGCCCATAGCGGCCACCCACTCCGCTTCCTCACACTGGTGCGCCACCTTTGCAGAACTGAGCAGCCCTATGTCTGTCTCTCCATCAGTCTCTGCCCTGATGACTTCTCCTTGGTGGTGTCCACAGAGGAGAAAGAGTTTCAGCCCTTAGGTAAGGTTTGGGAATCCAGTGATGGATACAGTGGGGCTCAATTAGAAGCCTGGTGACCTCGGTTGCTCCCAAGGGACAGAAATTGTTCTCCTCTGGTGAAACATCCAGTCAAGTTTGTTGAATGCTGTTGCAGTCTGGGTGCTGTGTTTTCACTTTAGACAGATTAAATCCTGGCCCTCAGCATAGCATCAGAGGCTTCGTTTACTAGAAACTCAGAGCTGTCCGGGCAGAATGTTCATACACGAAACTGGGGATTTTATCGCTCTGGGAAACAGGCTGTGTGAGGAAGGTTTATGGAGAAATATAACTTAGCCAGACCTGTGTGGCATTTGTTGCAGTGGCAGAATTCTTGCCTTCCATGGGTGAAGCCCAGGATCTACTTTTGCAAGCTTAGTATGGAGCACAGTTCTACCCTAACACACATTAGGTTACCATGAGTCAAAATAAACTCAATGGCAATAAGTAAACTTAATGGCAATGGGAGCATATCAATGAAAGATTGCTATCATAATGATTGCTTTTGATTATTATAAAAATAATCAAAAAGGAGGATCTAGGTAAGGTTGTAGGGGTGAAAATCTCAAGTTGATTAACCTGGGACCCCCTTCCCTTAGCTTTCCGAGGTTGGTGCAGCATCTACAACATGTGAAGTACAGTGTTTGTGCTCTCTTCCAGATGCGATGGAGCCTGAGGGTGACGCTGAGCCCTCTGCAGGCTGTCAGCTACAGGTCAAGTGTGGGCAGCTGCTGGCTTGTGGGCAATGGCATCATCTGGCTGTCGTGATCACCAAGGAGATGAAACGGAATTGCATTGTTTCCACGTACTTGGATGGACAGATAATTGGCTCAGCCAAGGTGAGAAGGTTCCCTGAGCTGAGTATCATCATTTGGATGAGACTCCCCATTGTATCACTGCAGAGCGGTTGGCAGCTAACCCACTTTGGTAACCTAGATACTTGACTGAGCTTGGGCAGTAAAAGGCCTCTTTAGAAATTGGGGGTGGAGAAGATGATCAGTGCAGAAAGGAAGAAGAAAAAGGGCACAAGCCTGTAAGAATAGTTCATTAAAAGAACAAAAACAAGAAAACCCTCCCAAAATACAAACCAAAACAAATCAAATTTACTATGAAGTTAACGCTGACTCATAGTGACTCCATCTGTGTCACAGTGGAGTTGTGCTCCATGTAGTTTTCAGTAGCTGCTTTTTAAGAAGCACATTTCCCTGTGTTCCCTTTGAGGCACTTACAGGTTCACTCTAACTTCTAACCTTTTGTTTAACAGCTGAGTGTGTTAACTGTTTGCACCATTCAAAGACCCCACACAGGAGAGTAAAGAGAAATCTCCATCTTCAGAGAAGTCCTTGGCAACCTTAATCCTATTAAGTAATGAGTTAAGAGATGCTGACCTTGGAACTTTGGATCAAGCCCACATTTGGTTAACAGCTCAATGCATAATAAATTATGCTACCAGGGCTTCTAATTATATATATATATGTGTGTGTGTACACACATATATATATGTGTGTGTACACATATATATACATATATATATATATAAGATATTTATATAAAGAAAATGCTTTATCCAGCTGCTTCATGTCCATTGGTCAGAGGTTAAGCTGGAGGCTTCTCCTAACTCACGTAGCTGTGGGGAAACTAATAAACTAGGAAGCAGGAAGACCATCTACTGGTGGGTGCAGAGTTGGGTGAATCTGAGGTCAGTATGTCAGACTTGTGACTGCAGATTCAAATCAATCCAGGTTAGACAGTAGGTCAGATGGCTACTGTTAGTTCCCAGAGTCAACTGGCAAAGTGAATGACCATTGGCTCAAGACCAAAGAACTTGAGGTCATGAGCCAGATGTATGATCCATACCCAACCAGAAGCAAACAAGCGCTACATAGTGTAGATTACAAAGGAAGTACGAAACACCACCCAGAAAGCTTCATCAGGGTTATGTCTCAGAAAGGTCATTCTACTCTAATTTTCTTACAGCTATTTGACTATTAACAGCACATATCATTATGGTGTTAATTATATTGTGTTGGATCACATCATGGGAGATAACTTGACCTTAACTGCCAAACCACTGAGAATCCTGGGTGAGCCAAGGTGACACAAACTTAACTAGTACACATGCTTCAGGTCTTTTCTCTGCTCAGGCCTAACAACAGAGTGGCTTCGCATTGCTTTTCCTTGACAGAATATGTTGGCATTCTGTCTTGTTTCAGAGAGTATGCAGATATTTTATAAAATCGTTCATATCCATTCACTTTGAGGGTCACTAGTGTGTTCTATTGATGTCAGTCCCTTTTTTTTGTTTTTTTTTAAACAGTTTTATTGGCACTTCATGTACATATCATACAATTCAATAGTTCAATCATATCAAAAAAAGTAGTACAATCATTACCACAATCAATTTTAGAACATTTTCTCCTTCCTTGTACTCATTGCTATTCCTGTAATTATTTTTTTAATTGTCATGGCAAAAAATATACACACCCAAATATTATCCAGTTCAACAGCGTCTCCATGTATAACTCAGTGCCATTGCTTATACTCTTCATGTTGTACAACCATTATTGATATCCTTTTCCAAATTATTCAACCATCACTAACATAAACTCCATGCCCCCTAAACAAAACTGTTCCTCCTTCCCCCATGGTGTAACCGCTGGTCACATTGGGTTCTTTCTATTTTAACTAGTTTTCTTCATACAATATTTACATATTATACACTTCCATAGTAAAATCTCTTTTTAAAAGAGTTGTATATACATCATCACAATCAGTTTTAATGGTTCCTCCCCTTTCCCACATTCACTGTTTGCTCCCCATTTCCTCTCCCTACCACCACCCTGTCTCCAATAAACCATTGCAAAATTTATTGTCTCTATGCATCTACTCCTTCTGTGCTTCATAAACTTGGAGAGCTAACAGGAACAATAAAAAACAGTAACAATACAAAACAGAAAGAAAAAATAAGCATTCTGGCTATACTTCTTCCAAGAAATACTTTGTGTTCTTTTGGCAGTCCATGGTACTTTCACTATTCTTTGCCAGCACCTTCAATTCCAAAAGGCAGCTAAGACCATATCAGGTACCTGGGAGGTTGTATGTGGTATAATACAGAGGTCAGGATAAAGATGTGCCAAGTCTCAAATCTGACACATTTGATTTTCCAGAATTATTTTATGTTGGAGAAAGATCAGAAAGTAATATTTAAGAGAGATAAATATTAATGCACAAATCCATTGACAAATGTAAAATAGGAGAGAGTGAGCTTATACTGAGAAGGACCCAATTTAAAGTCCTTTCTCAACCAATTTGACCCTATGTTTATATTTCCAGGGCAAGGTAAGTTCAACTTGCAAAGGTGAGATGTATTTTAGAATTGGATAAAATGTTTTTGAGAACAATTTCAAACACCATGTATTTGTAAATCAGCCTGAATTCATTGAGCATATGCTTTGGGATTTTGGAAGAAGGAATCATGATGGGTTGGAGTAGTGGAAAAGACAAAAGTCTTTGGGTGGATGGGAGAAGAGAGACTCCTTACTAGATAGAACTTGGTGGCTGAAATTTTGTTTGTTTTATTTGAACACCTTATATTGTAAAGCTATCTTTAAAAATGACTTGATCTCTTTTTAAAAATATATTTATATACATATTCATATAAGAGTAGGTTAAAAAATATTGCTGCAAGGATTCTAATTCATACATACACAGGATTATTCCAAACAACATATGCTTAAATATGTCTCTGAAATCAGTGGATGGCTCTAGAAAAGTTCTCTTATTTGTCTCAATTTTATTATAGTGTCTTAAAAATAAGTCTAGTAAAAATAGTAGTTTCTGGGGGCATCTGCCAGGCCAGTTAAATTCAAGGCAGAGAAATCAACTCAGAAGGTTATACTGAGTTTGGGGAAGTGGGTTCCTATGGAGAAATCTTGATGTGTTTTCTCAAAGAACAGAAGATGGTCACAGGAGTTTATTAGGATGAATTTTTAAGAAATGGTATAGGTTTTAAAAAGGCCAAGAAAATTGTTCCAAGGGCTTTTTTTCTCACCAGGATATTACATCTGTTTATTTATTAAGGGGTTCAAGGGCTAGCCTTACCCTTTCAGGGTTGATTTTGTTTTTCAAAAAATCAAATAATGTTTAAAAGGAAATAACTTGAGTTCCTTGAAGATGCCAAAATTGACACTTTGATGTGGTGTAAAATGAAGAATACAGAATTTTTTGAGAAGGGTTAAAGATGGACATACCACATCCACTAGTGAATAGACCTAGATGGAAGATATGTCAAGAAACAATAGCTTCACATTTCAATATTTTTTTAAAATCAATTTATTGGGACTCATAAAATTCATCACAATA